AGCTCGAGTGTGGTGTGTGCAATTGCAGACAAAATTGGATGTGCAGGTTGGAATGGTTGCACCACCGTATACTTCGATGCTTGTCAGTGGAAATTCGACAGATTTTTTAATTCCTGGCCATGTTACGATTGTTTAACTCCCAAAAGTCTCGCTTTTTTGATCCGGTTCGATCCTTTTTGACGGACTGAGTGTGTTTCCCTGTGTCGTTTTGTGGTTTTGCTCGCTCGTGGGATCGTAAATCTTCGTCGTTGTTTGGGATTATGCCATTTTCTGTGACTTTTTACTTTTTAACGGTGAAGCTTCACCTATTTCGTCTTGAGTTTAGGTATAAATGGCCGAGCAAGCTGTTAGGAGAGCTGGACCCGGACCTGCCGGAAGGTGAGCATCGTTATAATGTGATTTTTCCTTTAATTCACCAACTTTTTGAGTATTTAGCATACTTTTTCTTGTTTTTACTTCTTTTCTGGGTTAGTGGTACTTAATTTAAGAAGCGATTATTGCGGATGCGATCATTCCATTATGTCTCATTTTGAAGCTGTGCAGTGGTGTTCAAGCCTCGAAACTTTCTTTGTTTTACTTGAACTACTTACGAATCGACTTGGTTCTTTTTGTGAATGCGTCAGAAAAAAACTTTTCCAGCTAAAATCAGCACGCGAATCTCGTAGTGGTGCATGTGCAGATTTGGTGCGGAGTTCTAGAGAAATTGCAAGAAAAGTCACTATTTTGTTTAAGGAACACTATCTAAGCGGCGGAGGTCGTGTAGAATCGCTGTGAAACGTGAAACACTTAAATCAGCGGTCCAGAAATCAAGTATAGGGTGGCCTCCCTCAACCAAGCCATGTACCCCCTCCCCTCCCACGAGGGACGGAGATCTGAAACCTGATCCATATGGGAAGACAAAATCGCAGATTTGGGCATCAGCTGGGCCCCGCTAACATTGTATAGGCCATATTGCATTCGATGTGCTACTAAGATTTTGAAAAAGTAGAATGTGTCCCGCATTGCAGAAAGAGGATGAGCAACAGCGAAAGCTTTTTTATTGTTCTGCAGAATTATAGCGGTTGTTCCCAGTATTCTGCCAGCAATCTGCATATCGCTGCTTCTTACAATACATTATTCTTTCAAGCACGGCTCTTTTGTTTGCAGCTTTTTTTTTCGAAAAAACGTGAGTGCAAGCGGGCGTTGAGACTGCATTTTATAGGACAACTTTGATGCAATGCGAAACTGCGTAGAGCAAGTGTGTGAATCGATTTGGAAAATCCGCGGTTTTGGGGAAAATGCAGAAATGCCCAAGTGACGGACTTCAGCTTCATTGATCTCTCAGCCCCGCTACCGGGAGAAATACCGACTCTGTGGGACTTTGGCATGCATTTCTGCAGATTCCGCATTCCTACTTTCTCCCAATTCCGCAGCTCTTCAAATCGATACGTACACCTTCCATCGGCGGTTTCGTCATTTCTTCAAACTCATCATGTGTGAGCTTGGCCTCAGACTTATACCGTCAAATAACCCGCGCGCACAACCAACTGTTGTACATTCCTGTGTTAACGACCAGAGAAATCAGTGCGTTGTTACCTTAGCAACTTTCTTTGATGATGAATCTGTTCAGGCTGTACGTGAAGGCAGTCTTCACGGGATTCAAGCGTGGACTTCGTACACAGTCTGAGCACACCGCCCTGCTCAAGCTTGATGGAGTGTTCAACAAGGACGACGCCAAGTTCTACATTGGAAAGCGCGCTGTCTACCTTTACAAGGCCCACAACAAGACAACCGTAAGTTTCTTTGATTATTGATTCGCACTTTTTTTCAATTTTTTCCCTTTCATTCATGTTCTGGATAGATGTGATGATATCCGCATCTTGTGCCTTCAATTTTTGCACGATCGTAATCTGGTAATTTGCATTCAGAAGGCACATTGTTATTTCGAGTTTTTTTAACTTTTTAAATCTTCTCGTTACTTTCCCGTGCAAGAACTCTGATTTTAAAGTGCTTGTAGCTTTTCTTCAAGTAGACCAATGGTGTTTCTATCATACCATGATCTCCTACTCGGGAGAGGGAATTTCAGCATACCAGCGTCCCTTGAGCAATTTTGTCGACACCTTTCTAATGTCACGGTGCACACCATTTCAAACGTTGGCCGAACTTTCCAGATCAGCATGAACTGAAAGTCTCACCACCTGTCTTTGAGGCATTCTCGGTCTGCGGCCGCAATCATTTTCAGAAAGAAACGTTACGGGCGCAAAGCTTCCGATATGTCTGGCGATTGGCGCTGGACGAAGAGTCCGGGGTTCAGGCGAAACCTTATACAAATCGACGGGCGTTTCCGGCCTAACCACGGCGGTTTTGCGCCTTCCGCGAAACCGCTTAGCTCGACGCCCTGGCGTTTTTGCCCAGCGAAATGATACCGCATCTCTTGCTTTTCGTCAACCGCTGACCGTTTCGGCGGTTCAGGCGTTGTTCGGCGAATACGAGCGGTTGGCGATTCTCCAATCAATCCGTATTTTTTTGCTTTTTGTCCAACCGCCATTTCGCGAGGGTCGCACACTGTGAACATTGCCTGAGTTGGTCATCAGTTTTTCGAGTTATCGCCTTAGCGCTCATTCATCCCTGTCGCGGCGCGGAGTAGTATAGCAGCTACTCACAGCTCAAGGAACACGTACTTTCCAATTCCATGTGTATAGAACTTTCGGCTTTCGTGAGGGTGATCCGGCAGGCAGTGGTCCTCCGTTTGACGTCCCATGGAATCCAGTCGAAAACTCTTCTGATCCAACTGTCATCAGAAGATCGGGAGCCTAGCAAGTTTCCCAGGTGGTCATTCTGACACAGTTGGTTGTGTCCGCTCCCAGATGATTGTTACCTACTTTCAGAATGAATGAGTAACCTAAAGGATTTATGTCGTTCCATGGGTCCTGCATTGCGACGATGCCTAGAATCTTTCCGAGGTCTTATTTTAAGGGAGTTTCAACTTTTATGGGTTATACATTTTGGAGTTTGTTTGGCCCAATGTCATCCGTTGAAATGCAGAGACTTCAAATTTCGTTGAGTAGAAGAGATTCTTAAGAAACAGTTACTTTACCAGATAGTTCCGTCCTCACAAAGAGATATACCGCTTGAGGGTTCGTGATGACTCGAGCCATCGGGAGACTTGCACGACTTTCCAGAAAATCGCCTGACGTGGCGGGCCCGCCTGGCATCAATTCGTTGGCAAATGCGGTAGCGTTTTTGGCCTTCGACTAATCTGTGAGTTCAGGACTTCGGATCATTTTTGCGCTTCAGTGCAGCGGAAGACTAACATCACCACGTTTATAGCGCTTTGGATTATGTTGACTGCTTGTTGATCCCACCTGTGCAGAGTTCAAATATCTGAGGCTTACGTTGAAGGCGAAACCCGCTATCACGGACTTTTTGTAATGGAGCTCACACACGAACAACAAGATAGTAATTAGCAGAGTAGTGAAGAAAAAAGCCAAAGTACCGTCCGGAAGGCCCTATACAAGACCCCTTGCCGTCGTCAGCTTGGACATGCATGCTCGGAAGAGAAGGCGTCTTGGTACGAATTCTCACTTGTTTCTCATTATTCTCATTATCATAACAATATCAGCTATTTTCTCTTATCACCTTACTTTCACCATTCAGAATGGTGTGAGTATGTAGAGAAGCTACTAGCTGTTAGATAGTAGCCTGTTCGGGTTAGATCTTCGAGGGGTGCTCATGACCCTGAATGTTCAGCTTCCATTGGGATTCTTGCGAACTTGCATTTTTTAATGCTTCTACAACCGCCTACCGGATCTTTCAACACATTTGAGAGCTTATAGCCTTAGTTTATTGTGATGTGCCTTCAAGCAGGAAATACTTCAGAAACGAAATGGTGGGCACAGAACATGACGTTCGTTGTCTTTATTATTCCATCGATGTTCCGAATAATCCCGATGCCGCCCGTTTCTTCCCGCTCTTCCCGCTTAGCTCTGCCACTTGTTCATTGTGCTGGTTTTCCGGCGGCCTAGGTACCTAAAGCTCGCTCAGAGTTGGCTCCGTTGATAGAGAACTCTGAGCACTGAACTCTGAGAACGGAGTAGCAGAAGTCAGTCCGTTTCTTGAGGATCATCTTTGCTGGGCTCCAGCGCGAACCAGTCTTTCCGCAGGCCCAAATTTTATCCCTTCTTTGTCATAGTAGGAGGACAATGAGCTGTGATTATCTAGCTATAGTTCTGCGCTTCATTTTTATGAGAGAAAGAGATTCTCCAATGCCCCTATGCCGTAAAGGTCGCACAGTTGGATTTTATCAGATTTTTTAAATTGCTCCAGTTTAACACGGAGCGGAACTGCTGTCGCCCTGGTGAGGCATATCAGCAGAAATGGTTTTTGGGGGACACTAAAGGGAACTGGTGGGTGAGCCTACACCTTGGTTGTTTGTTTCTTGTAATTTCTTGGAAGCTGCAAAGAGAGATTTTTGATCCAATTGAAGCGGTTCTTATTTGGAATTTCGTACGCTGAAGTGAGCAGTTCAGTGGAGTTCCTTCTATTGTTATTAGGGTGTAAAGCGGTAGATAGCCAGGGAGCAAGCATTCCAGTCAAAATATGTTGGATCGTTAGGCCTAGCTGTCTGATGAGGTATTTTCTGACCTCAGTTTTACACGCTTCACTCAAGACACTTGGCACTT